CTGCTTTGTCTCTGGTCAGGTCTTGGATTTAGAAAGCCAAGGAGTTCGAGGGAGGGCAATCAGTGGAAACAACAGAACAGAGCCATGGTCCAGAAAGAAGAAGCACAACTGTGGGTCCTAAACTTAATTATACTGAATATATAGGTTCAGTATAATATAACCCTCTACAGCTACTTTCGCCTGCACATATCCTTTTCCTTCTTGGTAAAATAAGGTTAGCACCAGTCATGATGACAACACACTAGCACTGTGGAAATAATATGAGTCAGAGGTGTGTGGGTTCAAAACGTGGGAGCAACAGTAGGTAGGCAACAGTAGGTAGGCAATACTGATTACATTTCCAGACTTTTCTTCTATGAAATGGGAATTTAATATGCATTTTTTAGGGTTATTGGCAGGCTTGGACAAGTGCCATTATTATTGGTGAAGAATAACTGCTACCATCATCATCATCATCATCATTTTTTTTTTTTTTTTTGAGGCAGGGTCACCCTATGCAGTTCAGGTTGGCCTTGAGCTTACTTTGTAGCCCAGGTGGGTCTTGAACTCACAATGATCCTCCTGCCTCAGCCTCCCTAATGCTGGGATTACAGGCATGCACCACCACCCTTGGCTGATTTTTGTTTTTTGAGAGTCATACTATGTAGCCCAGGCTGGCCTTGAACTTAGAGCAATCCTCCTATCTCAACCTCCCAAGTGCTGAAATTACAGGTGTCCTGATTATTGTTATTATCGACCAGAATATTAATTCCACAAAAGCAGGGATTTTTGTTTGTGTTGCTCATTGATGGAGTCCCAAAACCTTAATGGCTGCCACAGAAGAAATGCTCCATACATATGTTAATTGTTAAATGAATTGTTATTATTACTAAGCCCTTTTCTAACTCTTACTTCTAGGAAGTTATGAACCTACACAAAAGGAACTTAGGAAAGTACCTTAAGTGGGAAATGGTCTTTGTATTGATATCAGACACCTTTGTCTTAAGAGCTCCCTTAAAACAATACAAAACAAAAACAAAACAAAACAAAACAAAGCAACCCCAAGAGATTCTTTTCACTGGGCATCATGGCACATGGCTGTAATCCCTGCACTCAGGAGACTGAAATAGGAGGATCATCATAAGTTCGAGACCAGCCTGGACTCCATAATGAGTTCAGGACCAGGCTGGAGTGCATAGTGAGACATGTCTTGAAGAAGGAGGAGGAGGAGGAGGAGGAGGGAACGAGAGAGTAGGAGAGAAAGAAAGAAAGAAAGAAAGAAAGAAAGAAAGAAAGAAAGAAAGAAAGAAAGAAGAAAGAAAGAAAGGAAAAATTTCTCTTTTATTACATACTACATACTGATTCCTCTACCAAATTTGTGGGTTACTACAGTGATTGGATCATCGGAAGTACCTAGTAAGTTTTCACTGAGATGGGATCCCAAAGAGGAAGGAGTCCTATTTCCCACATGGAAACAAAGCATTGAGGATGAAGAATTAATTATGTTGGGAGGGTTGTGTATCCACTTCTAAAGCATCCTCTGCCTCCACATGTGGAACGTAACGAGGCTCTTGTTCCCTCCTGAATTCTGGGAATATAAACGAATGGGGCAGCATATGAAAATAAGAATTATAACTATTTTAAGAATGTTTATTATTTCAATTAAAAACTCTTCAGGGTTTCAATCTCTACTACTACAAAACAAACCTACTCAGGAAAAGTTTTTGAATATGTATATATAGTCCCAGTTCTCAGGGGAAAAATGATCTAGTAGGCTCAAGGTTTTAGAGACAAGCACTAGCGGCCAGGGATATAGCTCAGCAGCATAGCACCTGCCTGGCAAGTGCAAGGTTGTGAGTTCAATTCCCAGTACAAAAAGAAAGAAAAAGAAAGCAACAAACATGAGTACAACAGTTATGATGAGTAATAATTTATATTATTATTAAGAACTAAATATATGTCAGGCACTATTTTGAAAGATTTCCCTATATGATCTAACTTCACTTTAACAGTATGTCTGAGACTGCAAGTATTCTCATTACTGCCTCTGTGCAGAGGAGGAAACTGAGGCACATCGAGAGTAAGGAAGTTGCCCCACATCATAGAGCTATAATGATCACGGGCAATCTGACTCCAACACCTGTGTTCCTATGAAAAATGATAATAAATAAGAAAATTTGGGGCTGGGGATTTAGCTCAGCGGCACAGCGCCTGCCTTGCAAGTGCAAAGTCGTGAGTTCGATTCCTGGTACTGGAAAAAATACCAAAAAAAAAAAAAAAAAAAAAAAAAAAAAAAAAAAAAAGAGAAGTCATAGTTTGATTCCTGGTACCAGAAAAAAAAAAAAAAAGGGTTGTTTTTTTGTTTTTTTGTTTTTTTTTAGACCGGGTTTCACTATGTAGTTTTGGCTGACCACGCACTCACTATGTAGCCGAGGCTGCCCTCGAACTTATGGTGATCCTCTGCCTCAGCCTCTCAAGTGCTGGGATTGATAGGTGTGCACCACCATGCTGGAATAATAAGAAAATAATTTGAAGATTATTAGTAGAGATATTAGTTTCTCTTCTGTTCTGGCCTTCCTTTGTTTTGTTTGTTTGTTTGAGACAGGTTCTTACTATGTAGTGCAGGCTGGCCTGGAACTCCCAGTGATTCTCCCTGCCTCAGCCTCCTGAGTGCTGGTATTACAGGTGTTAGCCACCACGCCCGGCTACTCTGGTCATCTTTTACTAAAAAATATTATCTCCTCTTATCTCACCCTTATGGTCCCATGACTAATTCCACATATTTTTCTCAAGGGAGCTTGAGATATTTGCAGTGCTCTAAAAGAAACATGCGTTACCGAACATGCCCTCTCTTCAGCTTTCGTGCAGACCTCTTCATTTGTCTCAAATGTGTCAGTCCTAGGCAGAGGTTGAAGAGGTTGAAGAGAAGTTTGCTGGGAAAGACTTGGAAGTGGGAATACAAGAAGAAATCCTCAAAGCTGGGAGTTGGGAACCAAGAAAGGGTGGTTTCGTTCAGCACCAAGGATAGCGCACAACGGAAGCTATCAGCACCCTGGACAGCGAAGATAGTCACGCCTGCCCAGGGACCCCGGCGGTTCTTGATCACCGAACCAAGCGGAACTAGAGCCTTTAATTCCTTTTTATTTTCATCAGCCGCCCTCAGTCACCTGCTCTTCAATGTTTAGGACACAGGTACAGGAAACAAATACGTTTTCAGGGAGATATTAACAGGCAAGATAAGACTCTTAAGGGGCTGATGCGCTCCGAAAACTCTTGAAAGGTCTAAATTATAGTCCTCAATTGGCTGTGGGGCACTGCTAATTATATTGGTTAATGATATGCATTTTTTATACTGAGTAGCAAAGGGTCACTGTTGTCCTTTTTATTCCTCGAATTTCTATCTCCATTGCTTACTCTCAAGTTTTAGTCTCGTGAAGAGCACTCCATAGGAAAGAGGGAAACAATCTCTCCACGGTCCCTGTCCTTCCTCCCCATCTTTCCTTTTCCTACTTCGGCTCATCCTCTTTTTTTCTCTTTCCCAAATACACACGTGCCCACGCGCGTGTACAAACACACATATCCTCAGTGTAACAACCACGAGAGGTCCTGCACACTACGGAGAAGATTGAATTCAGAGCAAACGGATGCCCCCGAAAGCAGGCTCTGTCCCTTTAAATGGGTTGTAGCAGTGGGGGAGGGGAACTGGCCGGAGCTGGCATTGTCCAGTTTGAACTGAGCACCGGAAGTGAAGGGGCAGGGCCAGGGCCATGCACTGAGCCCCGGGCCATTGTCCATCTCCGACCAGGGCAGTAGCCACCCCCAGCCCACCCTCATTTTCTCCTAGGAGAGAGGCTATCTCTTCAAATAAGGAGACCCCTAGTTCCAGTTCCTCCACCAACCCCGCTATGGGGAGGGTACCGCACTTTAGGGTGGTGACTCGCAGACAAGGAGGGTCTGGCAGTCGAAGTGTCGGGAGTGCAGGAGGAGTGTCTGCACCCACCAGCACACCGGGTCTCCCAGCACTGGATGGGACAGGGTGGGGGTGGGGGCAGGATGAGAGGGCAGCTGGCAAGAGGGAACACACTTCCAGCCCCTTTGGGCTCCTCCTGTTCTCCCAGGGGACTCTATCTGGGCTCAACTTTAGACACAAATTTGGAAAGAAGGAAGTGCTCTTTATACTGATCAATTAGGAGCACTTTCTCCATTCCGATGGGGGAGGCACAGAAAAACTCAAAAACTCCGGGAGACAGAGACATTCAGTTGTAATCAGAGGCAGCAGACTTCCAGAGGCAGCGCCTTGGTCAGAATAGATCAGTCGGGCCGGATCTCCAGACTCTAGCTCCCCAATCCCCGGTTTCCTGGTGTCCAAAACTCCAGGTCTATCTAAGCACACGAGGGTAGGAGGTGAGAGCGGGTCAGCGCCAAGCAGCCGGGTCAGATCAGAGGCCTGAGGGGGAAGGGGGGAGGGGCGCTGAAGGGCTGGGGGAGGGGGAGGGCTCATCCATTTCTCCCTTGACAGGTGGTTTGTGTCTCTGATTGGCCAGCGCCACCAGGCTCACACCTCCCTCCCCCAACTCTCTGGAATGTATAATTATCTGCACGGGGGGTGGGGGTGGTGTGTATGTGCGGTCACGTGGTTTTAAAACTACCCCCCCCATGCCCCCCACCTGTATCAGCTTTAAGGATCCCCACTGAGTCCTTAAAGTACGTGATCCCAAATTCCGGGGTACCCAAGACTTCTGGGGCAGACCATTCCCATCTCCAGATGTGTGTATGTGGAGGGGGTGTCAAACCTCAAGGTCCTGAGAAGGGACACCCCAGAGGTGTCAGAGACTGGAGCGGTGGGGGAGGGCCGGAGCGGGAGGGAAAGGGAGGGGAAAGGAGAGAGGGGGAGGGGAGGGGGCTGCCCGCGGGGGGTTGGGTCATTGTCTTTTAGAATTTGGGAGCCTTTGAAAAGCCGTGGGCCCTCCCACCGCTATTGTGCAGAGGAAGATGTAGCAGGCTCTTCTCCGAACCACCCCTTTGCCTCCGGACCTCACTGGGGCCAGCAGCCGCCCGATCAGGGGCCCGGGGCCACGGGCTCAGCCGACGACCATGGGCTCGGTGTCCAACCAGCAGTTTGCAGGTTCGAGCAAGGGACTTAGCGGGGTACCTTAAAGTACAGGGCTTCCAGGAACCACATAGAAGGGAGGTGGGGAAGTGTACCCCAGGCTGCCCGCAGGACCCCAAGTCGGTGCCGCTTCCTTATTGGGGCCATAGCTGGACCAGAGAACCCAGGTGTCCCAGTGGCGTGCGAGGCGAGCCTTCGGGGGCGGAGGGAGAGAAGAGGAGGGGCCTGTCTGGCCTTCTGTCCCACGGCAACGTGTTGTGGGAAGAGGAGCAAAACTTTCGGGGCACCACTGGCTTCGCTGTAAGCTTGGGGAGTGCGCGCGGGAGGCGGCCGGGACAGGTTTCTTCTCGCCAGCTGCTGGGTTGCTGCCCCCTCCTGGGTGTCCACCCCTGGGCTGGACTCTGGGTCACCCGGGCCGGTCGCTGAGGGAGCCCTCCTAGCCCGTGGCCCCCCAGCTGAGCGCCCGGCCCTCTCAATCTCCAGGTGGGTGCACCAAGGCGGCGGAGAAGGCGCCGGAGGAGGCGCCGGCGGATGCAGCCCGTGCGGCGGACGAGCCGCAGCTGCTGCACGGTGCCGGCATCTGTAAGTGGTTCAACGTGCGCATGGGGTTCGGCTTCCTGTCCATGACCGCCCGCGCTGGGGTCGCGCTCGACCCCCCGGTGGACGTCTTTGTGCACCAGGTGAGACTGATTCTGGTAACTTTGTTGGGGGAAAGGGGGCCTAGAAGCACATATGCACGGGTGGGTGGGCGGGCTCGGCTGTTGGATTGACGATCAGTGCGTCCCCATCTTTGCAGGGGCACCCCAGTTGTAAGTCCCTGTTTACTACGGGGCTAAGAGGGAGGCTGCAAGGATTATCAGCACCCCCTCCCCCTTCCGGGAACCCCTCCGGCTTACCACGTGTCTATTACCTCTTTCCCCTGGGAAGAGGGCAGGGGGCAGGGAGGTGACCCCATGTGGCAGAAACTAAGGTTGTATTGTGCTTGCGGGTGGGGGGAGGGCGAGCAGGCCGGCCAGGGAAGCACATGCCGGGCCTGAGCGGGGCGCCGAGTGCCCAGCGCGTTTAATGTCTGAATGAACCTCACAGGGCCGGAGTATGGGCCGGGAGCTGGGTACCGGACCCAAGAACATAAAACTGCGAAGTCGGCCACGTCCCCGGTTTAATGCAGATCTCACCCAGGTGGTCACTTAAAACTCAAGTGTCTTGGGGCTGCTGGTTTGGCAGATCCCCTAAAGATCCAGTGAAAGTCTGGAAAGTGCCACCGGAGCATTGCTTACAGTTCAAGACTCCAACTCCAGCCAGGAAGGAAAACCTTTGAAGGAGCCCAGGCCTCCACATTCCTGGGCCAGGCTGGGACAGTTGGGTCGGTGCAACCCCAAGTTCTCAGTTACAGCAGGGCAGCACAGTCGGGGGTGAAATTCAGTGTCCCGGGGCAGGGGGTGGAGGGCAGCTGGTCTCTGGACCTATTCTCCTCAGTTTGGCATTTATGGCCCCAGACAGCCATTGATTGCTGTCCTAACATTCCTAGCCTCTACCAAGGAGCCAGAGACTTAGGATCTCCCTCCTCCCAGGCTTGCCCTTCCTCAGTATCCTAAAGCCATTGCCAGTGGCCCTGAACCACCACCTAGCATGTAAAGATCATGTAAAGCAAGTTGCTGTGTGTGTCCCTTCCACATTTGGTGGCTCGGGGCTGGACCTGGAAAGAAGAAATATGTAATCCCAGGCTCTGTAGGTTGACACCCTGGCCGGGCAGGGAGGGGTTACTTCTGGGAGGTTGGCTTTAGGAGCCATGGGGGAGGGGAAAGGAGGATGTGGGGATTAAGGCTTGGAGCCTGAGGGATGGCATTCTGGAGGGGGAGGGGTGGGGAAGGGAGATTCTGGGTGGACTGGTTGGAGGCCGCAAGGAAGTCTCTGAGCACAACCCTCAGGGAGGAGATTCGGGAGGAGAAACTAAGGAGATAGAGGATGCAGAGAGATAGGGACCTGGCAGTCACTATTACTGCCGCAGGGTCACTGGGGTGCTACAACATCTGTCGAAAGGGGGATGATTAGCTACCCTCCTGCAGCCCCCATGTTCCTGCCCCCCCAGCTAGTTTCAGGCTGGTGGCTTTGCCCCCTCCTCCCTGTCTCATTTACATATGTGAATGATAACCCACAGGAAGTAATTGTGGGAGAAAGAAGGGAATTGGCCTCTTTAGATCTATTAAATCACTTTATTACAGGAACCAGCTTTGAATGGCCTTCCTCAGCAGGGTGGCAAGTCTCCCCCACTCTCCCATTTATCTGATCACAAAGAGATTAAAATCTTTCCTGGTCCTGGAGACAACCGGACAGCTACCCCAATTTTGGGAGGCTAGAATAAAAGTCACATCCAACATTTGTCTCTCCTCCAAAGCTTGCTAAGTAGAAAGAGGCTGAGGGGAATGGATCTTCTGATCTTCTGGGCTTCCTTGGAGATAAATCCCAAGGAAGGTTTTTTAGCAAGTGATCTTTGCCTCAGCCAATTTCCCTTTAGGTTTCAGGGCAACTGGAAAGCTATTAGATGGCATGCAAGAGGCCAGGATGGACCAGGTAGAAACCTTCTGGACTAGCAGGTTTGGGGATTTCCAGAGACCCACAACTGAATAACGTATCAAAAAGAAGCTGACCTGGATGATGAATCAAGAACTTGTCTTCCTAACCCTCCTCATTCTCCAGCGCTAGTCAGAGGATGATAACTGATCCGTATGGTACCATGGGGCTGAACCATACCCCACCTTAGCAGTGAGTTAGGTTAGTGATTTAAGATCTCTCTGGGAATCTAATGGCAGAGGAATTTTGTAAGTGCAGGATAATCCCTAAGAATTGTTTACTGGGAGAGAAAAGTGTTTCTGAAGTAGAGGTGGTAAGAAATCTTTAACAAAATGTCTCATTCTTTAGTTACCAGTGGTGGTTACCCTGGAGGTAGGGAGTAGGGTGGTGAGGATAATTGTTCTAATATAACATTTGCCAGGGAGAGGGCATGCGGGAGCCCCTTTCCAAAGAAAGATGGAGGGGAAAAGCAGCTTGAAAGTATTTTTTTTTTCTCTTCCGAAGTTGAGCTTGTAAGGTTCGCAGTGCCTTCCTTCCTCCAATCTGATTACACTCCTCCCAGGAGTGGATAGTGTGAGAAAAAGCACATCCCACCCCGAACAAAATGCCCATAAAGCAGAATGATTTCCATGATACTCCTTTCGTTCAGTGATAGGTCTTTAGACCTACAAATCTCTGGCTCTGGAGTTAAGGGAATTTTTAAATTATAATAATGACAGATTGCCAGCCCCTAACTCAGGTGTCTACACCTTGGCACTGTTGACGTATTTTAAGCAGGTTAACTCCTTGTTCTGGGAGGATATAGAATGTACACCACTTCCTGGCTTCTACTCCCTAGAAACTAGTTGTATTCCCTCAGTTATGACAACCAGTATGTCTCCAGATAATTGCCAAATGCCCCCTGGGAGGCAGAATCACCCAGCAGAGGAACCGTCACCCAGAAAAAGCAGGAACTAGAACGAGCTAAAACTGTGTTCTGTTTTTGTTTTACCATGAATGTTAAAATCCCTGTGGCCCTTTTAACAGTTTTGGCTTCACTCATATTTAGTGTGGTTCACAACCCAAACTGCTAAGATTTGTAGAAATTGAAAATTAAAATTTCCAGTTTCTCCATCATAGCTTCTCAGAATCCAGGTAAGTTAAATTGCTTTCTGGCTAAAATACTGTTAGAAGCCTTGGAAACAAAAAGAAAAGCCAATAGTTGACTGAGGAAACAAGTGGGGTTAGGAGAACCTTTTTTCAATATTGAGACGTAAATTGAAGCTGAAATTGTTCTTAAGCCCATGTGGCCTGCTGCTTTTTCTGAAAGAGATGAGTCAGGGACAGCAAGAGCACAACCACCTGAGACCTAGGTTAGGGCCGGGGGCACATATAGGATCTTCCCCACCTGGTTTATAACATTGCACCTCTGATTATTCCCTTCATGTCCAGTTACTGATGTTCTGCTTGTCTTATGCTCTCCTAACCAATATGTAAGCCCTTTGGAGAAGGAAACTTAGCTGTGTGGGTAATTTTCTAGTATACCCTTGTGCTAAAATGGAAAAATAAACAGATTTTTTGGGGGGTGCTGGGTGGAGCCCAAGATTAAGCAAGCCCTCCACCATGGAGCTATACCCTTCCCTGGACCTTCATCCCCATGTGAACAGGATGACATATGAGGGGGTGGTGCCAGGAATCACCTCACACTTGCCAGGCAGGCACTGCATCACCAAACTAGATCCCTAGCCCCCTCCCATGTTAACAGGAAAAGACAGGCTAAAAATAAATCATCCTGATTTCTCATAAAGTTGGTAAAGGAGTTTGTTAATTTTGGCACCATGGAATCTTCTGGAGTCCATTCAAAGGAGACAAAGGCTATGCCAGCATCCTAAGCAAAGCTTCAAATTCAGGAAGCTTCACCCCTGCTAGTGACACTGCTGCCTGCACTATGAAGAATTATGTGTTTTACCGAGGCAATTTAGACATTCCTAAGCAAACAGTCACATGCCCTACCTTACCCTACTGGAACTCCGTGATTTTTAGAGACTCTCCCTTAGGTAAATCTTATACTTCACTTCTTCCTGCAGGCGTGAAAAACAGTTCTGAGTAGTCCCAGTCTGGGAGGTGGAAAGAGTTGGGGGAGGAGATATTCAAAGTAGTACATAATTTTTAACACAGTCTCAGGTTAGAGTTTCTTGATTCAGATAGAAAAACAAAGTCCAAGGAGAGCTGTACAGAGCAGAGTACTGGATTTCTGGCATAAAACTCAAAGAATTTTTTCAGTCCCACCCTGAACCACTTTAGTGTGGAGGTAGTTGGGCAAGGGGCAGGGAGTAAACACCCTATCTCCCTCTCCCTGAGGGCAAGGGAGGACAAGATGACCCTGCTAAGAAGCTGTGGAGACAAGGCTGTAAGTGTGTTCACAGTTCAGAACCTCCGTCCTGCCTGGTCTAGCTCTCTGGCGTGTCTTGCGCACTCAGGCAGATAGATGCACAGCACCATCTGGTGGAGAACTGCAGGTAGGCACCAGCAGCTTCTCTTGAGAGGTGAGGGAGGTTGGCTTCCCAGAGTGTTTGGCTCTGGACGACTTCCCCATCTCCTTGGCACACACCCACCATCAGGTAAACTGCCTCTGGATGAATTGGTTTTCTAGCCCCTATGAAATTCTCCCTCCAGGAATGAGGTCCGGATAGGGCTTTGACATCACAGAGTTGAGTTATTAAAATAACTTTCATGTGCTGCTTTTTACTTCTAGAGTTTAAAATTGTACGTGACTTGCATGATGTGAGGTTGTGCTGACTAATTGAGTCAGGCCAACTGCAATCAGCCCAGCTCTTTTCCTATCACTATAGCGCTGGGCAAGGTGCCCTGTGCCTCCTTGTTAAACTGACCATGTGGGTCATAGTAATACCTACCCCCGCATTGGTTTGATAGGAGAGTTAAATGAGTTATACCATGCAGACTGTTCAGAACACTGCTTAGCCTCTAGTAAGCATCAGTAAGTTACTTCAGGTAGTAAAGAACTTAGTTTATTCAACAAATATTTGTTTGCTGTTAGGAACCTAGAATTGGGGTAGAGACATGCACTGGCTAATTTTGAACTGAAATATTCTGTGTGTTGCCTAAGAGC